TTTTCTCAATATAATAATATAACACTTTTGATAGTAAATCAATCGTATTCCCTAATGGTGAAAAATTGACTCATTAAAATGACAATTTGTAAAATGAATTTTAAATATATCACCAGTTAAAGGTTCAAGAAAATTATTGAAGGAGAATCAAATTTAAAATAAAATTCCAAGTTGACGTTGTAGACCCATCTTGGTCCGTTTTGGTGGTGGAATTGGAACTTATGTAACACAATCAAAAACATTGTAACTGAGAAATATTTGGTTGTAGACTAAGAACAAGTTCTGTTGGTGAATATGTACGATATGCAATTGGTTGAACACGAATACATGTTCTGAGTAGAAATAGGTAATTTTGTCATCACAAATATAGGCCAAGCTATCAATTGAATACATTTGCGGAGGGTAGTCAATATTCATTCTTACCGATATGCAATAGTTATTGAATGTTTGAGATGCAAACTCGCTATCATTATCCAAACAAATTGTCGTGATTAGATAATCTAGAAATTGTGCTCATAACTGAATTATTTTAGCAAGACGCCTTGCAAATGCGACATTTCGTGCATAAATTAGACACACATGTGACCATCTTGTTGATGTATCAATTAAAACCATGAAATAGCGAAATAACTTAAATGGAGGGTTTATTGGCCCACATATATCTCCCTGAATTTGTTGGAAAAAATTAAAAGGTTTAAAAATTATCTTCAAAGGGGGATGGTTTAATAATTAGTTTACCTTGTGAACAAGTAGAACATAGATAGTCACTTGATAAAGGAATCTTTTCGTTATTTAGAGAATGTCCATGTGAGTTCTCAATGATCATGCACATCATTATTGATCCTAGATGATCAAGACAATCATGTCAAAATATAAAATTTTTTAGATCAGAGATTTTTTTGTGCATCACAATATTTGTTTCTACAGATTTTATGGTGGTATAGTATAACCCAGAAGAGAGAGTATGCAATTTTTTTAGTACATTCTTTTGGCTTGATACACTAGATATGATGCGTAAACACTCTCTGCCAATCTCATTCGTCATTTCAATTCGATATCCATTAGGATGAATATCTTTAAAACTTAGTAGATTTCTGCTGGATCTACCAGAGTATAATGTAATTTAAAAAAAGAGTTTTATTTATCAAGATTGCGTCATATTCACTCCACCTGAGCCTTCAATCAAGTCTGTAGGTCCTGATATTGTATTAATACTTATTTTAGATAAAGATATTTCTGAGAAATATTTTCTATTGTGAATAATTGTATGTGTCGTAGTACTATCCGCTTAGTATATATCTTCATCGTTCAGCTTGGAGTTAAATAATGAATTATTATGATCCATATCTCTATATGAAAATTTTACACCTAATTTTATTAATAAAGAAGATGCATAGAAATGAATAATATGAAAATAATAAATATCACACGTAGGAATAAAATCCATTACTTTAAGATAATATTCTTAATCTATTTTTTCATTTTATTTTCGTTTGGGTTGACAAGTCAAAAACATCTAAATTAACAAAATTTAGTGGATAGTCGGTGAGAGTGGTGCCTGATATCCCCTTGCCAAAATTCGTCCATATCAACTTTTTTTTTCAGTGATAGATTTTTGATATATATCTGCCAAAAATTTCAATATACGACATATATGCCACTAGTGTTCTTTCATTCCATATGTATAACAACTATTTTCAGTTTTCTTAGAGAGTTTATTCAGGAAACTCTTTTCTTTCTTACGTTTTGCTATAATTGTTCCACTTCTAGTGTTGTGCAATATTGCTCCATTTTTGACTTGATGTGAAGGACTTTAGGCCTCCATAGTAACCTTGAGGAAAATAATTGTTTTTATTTTTATCACGACTATAACCACGACCTCGTCTTTGACCATGAAAAAATGTGACATTTTACTTCTAGAAAGACTTGGTGGTTAGTTGGACGAGACTCATGATTCTTCATTAGTAATTCATTATTCTCCTCCGCGAGTAAAAGACATGCTATGAGTCAATTATATGTCTTGAACCCAAGTTGTTTATATTGTTGTTGTGACAAAATATTGATGCGCATAATGTAGAATAGGTCTTTTCTAATTTTTTTGAATCTGATATACACTGACCACATAATTTCAATTCAACAGTGTTTCTATGTACTACTGAGTTGTATTTGTGTATGGTCTTAAAATCTTGGAATCAAAGGCTAAACCATTCATGTCTAGCCTTCGGAAGGTTGATGGTTTTATGGTGATCAAACTTAACTTTCAAATTTTTCTACAAGTCTAAAGGATCTTTGAGAATAAGCTGCTCACTCATTTTTTAATCCTTCACTAATGTGATGACGAAGAAAAAGCAATGAATTTGCACGATCTTAAGAGTTGCCTTGTTTTTGACCTTTGTGGTGTCACCAACTGTTTTTTGTATCTAGGAAAAGCTCAACATCTAATACTCATGACATGCAGTTGTGATAAAAAGTCTAAAGCCAAAAATTTCAATTTTGCGATGTTGGCTATTTTCACAAAAGCTACATAAAACAAAATGATAAAGTTAGATAAAAAAAATACACTCAACAAATCTCTATCATTAATAGCAATTGATCATGTGCACACCAAATATTCAATATCTTCATTTAATTTTTTTTGTGAAATTTAAGATTACATAAATATATTTGTCTTTTCGATCATGTCTATATATATGTTGTAGAATACAAATCATAGAAAATAAAATTTTCTTTTACGGCTGCGAAAAATAAATTCATAAACTCTTCTTTGTTATCTCTTTTATATTCTTATTCTCTATACAATGACAATTTTTATTTTCCTTTATGTAATCATATATCACCACGGTCATGGTTCGTACAAATTTATTTGGTGTAATTTTCTCGGAGATCTATTTTTATTTTTATTTCTTATTCTAGCAAGTTACTAGTACTTCTTATAAACTTGTATTATTATTAAAAGATCTTATTTATTTATATTGAATTGCCATCAAAAAAATCTATTTATAAATATTCTAGAAAATTACGGAATGAAAATATAAATTTCAAAAGTTGAGAGAGATAATCAGTACTCATAATAAGATAAAGGGATCAAACTATAAACTAATTACATTAATTCCACTACAACCTTTTAACCGTCTGCAATTGTGGGATCGAATCCTAAAGCAGTGAGATCCATCATTTGAATATTTTTTTGGCTTCAAAATAATTTATTTTCTTACAGATTAAATAAATTTTAATATTATAATTATTACAACTATAAGATAGTAAATTCAAACTGGTGACCTTCACTTTCTTAAGCCGCGACTAACCATCTCGGATACACATGTAGGTCTGAACAAATTCGATGAAATATGAATGCAAGAATATAATGATAAATTTTTTTCAAATATCAATTAATATATTAAGTCTGCTAACACAATTTTATGCATGAGTTTTAAGCTCTACAAATTAAATTGTGATCTTCTAGTATAACAATAATTTACAAACATTGGGTCTGTAATTTATGTATAATTTACAAACTTTAGGTCTATAATTTCTGTCCTTTTTTCTGGCACAATAAAAATTTTTGTACTTCAGTTACTAGATTTGTTTTTTCATGTTCTTCAAGAACATAATTTATATTAAATTTTTATATACTTCAGACACTAATTTAAATATAATGGTAGTTTAAAAAATAGGACAACAAACACCCACATCATGTTTTTTCATAATATGTATGATGTTAATTGAAACTAATAAATTTATATATTTAATTTTACCATTCAAATAAAGAATATTATTCGGTTGTGACTCAATTTATTAGCTATTGTGTTGATAACGTATTATAAAACTAGTATATTAATTCAGGTGCGAACAACTAATTTAAAAGCTAATGGAAGAATACTAAGAATATTGAGAGAGAGAGAGAGAGAGAGAGAGGGGGGGGGGGGGGGGGGCGGGGGGAGATTTTTAGATTGTATATCTATTTTTTATGTGTGCATTTTCATTCAGCGGAAGCCGGCTGCTTTATTGGCAGAGATACATTATTGATCCGACAAGAGGAAAGTCAGAAGCTGGTAGTCAGGCAAGTGTTTTTATGAGCGTGGGTCATCCTTCATGTGCAGGTGCACATAGTTTTTCAACTCAAACATATATTTTTAAAATATTTCTATGGAAATATTTCCTATGCCATGTTAAGAACTTTTAAGGTGAAACTATATTATCAGACAAATTTTTTGTTGGAAATACTAAAGAATCACATGCGAACAATTTCCTGGTAAATGAATTTATTTTTCGCAAAAAAACTTCGTTGGCAATACTAGCGGATTACCCTCGAAATGTTTCCCTAAAAATAATCTTATTTAGTCAGTATATATATTTACTTCCAACGAAAAGTTTCACTGGAAATAATAAAACTTTGCTGGCACTAGTATTTTCCTGAGAAATTTATACTTTTACTAGCTAAAATTTTCTCTGCTAAAAGCGTTTTTTATTGTAGCCCAAATTTCATTGCTTGTGCATTGTATGGGTTATCTTTAGTTGATTACATGCTAATGTATCTTAGCCTCTTGGAACGTTTTTTTTTTTGGGAGGGGGAAAGGAAAGGAAGAGGGAATTTGAACCCTTGATCTCAAGAAGATAAAGTTTTTATAAGATAAAGAGTATCATTGGACTAATGACTCATTGGTTAGCTTCTGGGAAAGTAAGAGAGGTAGTTACCTAGTTATTTGGATTATTATTTTTATTTTTTTTTTTGGTTTTTTGTTTTGCTGATTTTAAAAATATAATTTGGTGTCAATATGATAAGAACCCATAACCCGTCCAACTGAATTATATCTACCCTACTTTCTTAGCTATACTCCACATTCTAGTTTATCATTTGATGACTTAAAAGTCCAAAATATTAAAAAAAAAAAAAATAACAAGAAAAAACTGTTGATACGGACAACGACTTTTAGGTAGCGTAATCTTGTAACATATGAAGGAAGTTCATGTTGGAGGAAGTTAGCGTAATCTTGGCCAAGATGGAGGAAGTTCATGTCGCTCCAGATTATGGAAAAGCCGTACATACATGACACCACGAAAAGGGGAGGAGAGGTGGAGGCTTGTTTATTTGCTTCGTCACATTACCGGTAATTCACCACAGAGAAAAACAAACCGTTAATGGTCATCCGCGTTACGTGCCTTCTTTAGTTTCCTTCTTTACTAACCACCTTTGACTTTCTCCTATCCCAAGCAACCTTTGTTTTGGCTTCCATAGGGATGTTTACTTATCATAACCTCTTTGCAGCTCATGTCACTCTATATTAATTATAACTTGACAATAGGATTTAATTTAAGGAGTTAAATTTAATGTTATTATTAGATTAATCTAGTGATAATGTTAGACGAAGTTTATTTTGATCTAACAGAGTCAATTGATTAGGTATGCAGATTTAAAACTAAATATCATTTTCTTTCTAAGTTTGTACCAGCCGAAAAGATTATGTCATTACACATTAAGGGGTAAAATTATAACTCAACCTACTAAGCTTACATCAAAATAAATGGTTTTCGACTGGTCCTAACATTCTCAAATTTTATGATCGATTCAAAATATATATATTTTTTTGGTAGCTTCGCCCACTAATAATAACTTAGCCCCAAACATAATAATAAAATTCGGTACCATGCATCCTCCATAGCATTGCGAAAAGTCACAAAGATTTAAGGGTGAAGATGTGATTTTTGAGACTTTTGTGTGTGTGTTTAGGAGGAAGAGGAGGAGAGGGAGAGGGGGAGGAGGCTGGTATTGCCCTCTTGTCCTAAGGTGACTTTGCCTTTGCTTCTTTATTTCAAAATGGCTTTCATACTGCGTGTTTCGGTAAAGAGGAAGAAAAGATCAATTGGCGCTACACAAAAAATGAGGATTGGCCTTAACAGTTATAAAGCAGCAAATATCCCCTGCAAATTTCGGCGCAGTTTGCTTGCTTTTTAAATTTTTTCCTTTTCGCTTGCTGCTTAATTCATGTGAGATGAAACATGCATCAATTCAAATGCTCTATAAATAGCCCCTCCCACTCCCACCCCCTTCAACTCCTCAACATCCTAACTCCCCATTCATTATTCAAGCTCTCTCTTTATCCCCCAAATCAGTGGGACAATGTTGAACCCTATTAGTCTGCTTGTTTTTCCACTTCTCTTCATAATCTTCAATCAATCATTTGCAACTGCAGCGACATACAATGTTCTCAACTTTGGGGCCAAACCTGACGGCAGAACCGACTCAACCAAGTCTTTCCTCGGCACTTGGGCTGCAGCTTGTGGCTCAGTTAAACCGGCCACGATCTACGTGCCACGGGGAAGGTACTTGCTTCACAAAGCACACTTTGCAGGCAATTGCAAGAACACTGCAATAACTATCATTATTGACGGCACCCTCCTAGCTCCCTCAGATTACCATGTTATCGGAAATGCTCATAACTGGGTCCTATTCGAGGGAGTCAATGGAGTTTCTATACGTGGTGGGATGCTTGATGGCCAAGGGGCTGGTTTGTGGGCATGCAAGGCCACCGGCAAGAGTTGCCCTAGAGGTGCCACGGTACGTGAAATTACCAAACTAGCCATTACAGTTTTGGTGCCAAGTGCAATACTGCGATCCAAACATGGGGCGCACCAATTTTAGGACATAAATTTCCTAACAATAATACTATTTAGAACTAATTTATTAATATAATTCATTACAATCATTGAATTAATTGTTAATCTCAACAAATAATAGGATCTACTGTCAATCTAATAGTTATGAAGGACTAGGTTAGTAAATTATGTCCCTAAATTAAGTTCAAGTAGCATTATTCTTTTCCTAAATATTATGCCATGGTTTCCTTGTGGCCACTGTTGTTTTGGTGCCTTCATGTTATATGGAAATCTTCAAATTATTTTTCATGGAAAAACAGTAGTTGTAGTTAATTTGGGAACTTAATGCTCTTTCTCCTAAGCTAAATAATGGTTTTCAATATTGAATAGAATCAAATATAAACTAAACAGTAACTATACATCAAGTACTAAAATTAAATTTAATATTTTTATTTTTTTTCTTGGAAAAACATAGAATGCTATGTATATGCGGGTCTTGGTCTTCCTCAAAGGGAGATATCTAGACTTAAGTGACTGGCTTTGGCCTCTAGGCTTCGCAAAGTAGTATTTTTGTGCATAGAAGAAGACGCTCTTTCCTTGATAAAAGAACTAAAATTCCAAGGAAGCACCTGGAAAAGAATGTAACAAAATGATTCCTTTTATTTGGGCACATTACTATTAGTAGTTCCCTCTTCTGGTTTATCTTTTCTGAGCTTTTAAAATAATGAAGCTCGTGGTTTTTATTTTATTTTATTTTTTATCACTTCTTTCCTTTTTGATTAATAATGTTTTACACTTGATTATGTGTATGGTCAGACACTGGGCTTTACTGACTCAAACAACATCGAAATCAATGGATTAACTTCGCTAAACAGCCAGATTTTTCACATCGTCATCAATGGCTGCCACAATGTCAAGCTGCAAGGAGTGAAGGTCTTGGCTTCCGGCAACAGCCCGAACACTGATGGCATTCATGTGCAATTATCATCAGGCGTCACAATCTTAAACTCCAATATTGGTACAGGTGATGATTGTGTATCAATAGGTCCGGGCACGACTAACTTGTGGATAGAGAACGTTGCTTGTGGCCCTGGTCATGGAATTAGGTACCGAATGTCACAACCAATACATAGACATAACACATTATTTATGACGAGTCCTTTATGTTTCTCGTTCCTATATTATGCATACATATAGTGCTAATATGTATGTGTTTGGTGCAGCATTGGAAGTCTAGGCAAGGACTTTCATGAAGCTGGTGTGCAAAATGTGACAGTTAAAACTGTTACATTTAAGGGTACAGAGAACGGGATGAGGATAAAGACATGGGGTAGACCCAGCACAAGTTTCGTTAGGGGTGTTCTTTTTCAGCATGTTAGTATGGCAAATGTTCAAAATCCCGTCATAATCGACCAAAATTACTGCCCAGATAACAAAAATTGCCCTGACCAGGTACGATTTTATGATTATATACGTAGTGATGAAAAAATTTCATGCTTGTTGAGATGCACCAACCTTGCATGTTGAGTCCATAATGAAATTTTTAAGAGTCTTACTCCCCTTGGCCTTTTAGGCTAACGAGTGGCCTTGACCGTCATGACAGTCTGTGGAATTTTGAGAGAAATTCATAGTAGTAATCTTATTTTCGAGTTAGATTACTGAATAATTTACTATTCAAATATGGTAATCTAAAATTTAGGAATGATAATCTCATTCTTAATCAAGATTATTGTCATCCAAACAGGGTATAAAACTTTTGCAATAGATTGGCGGTTAATTTCTTGAACAAAAATCTTTGAAAAAACCTAGAAAAAAAAAAATTCTTGAACTTATGTGCCTCAGTTATAGTTCTAATGTGATGATCTGATTAAATCTTTTCTTGTTTGTATAATTTTGTCACAGGTATCAGGTGTAAAAATCAGTGACGTTACATACCAGGACATCCATGGAACATCAGCAACACCAGTTGCTGTAAAATTTGATTGTAGTAAGAAGAATCCATGTAGCACGATAAGACTTGAAGATGTGAAACTCACTTATAAGAATCAAGCAGCCAAAGCATCATGTGTCAATGCCGGAGGAACAACTTCTGGCTTAGTCGAACCCACAAGCTGTTTGTAACGCAGAGATATTTTTTTTCCCAAAAAAAAAAAAAGAAGAAAAGAAATAATTGTTGTATATGCAGGGGGAACATATGTCTTGATTCCTCCAGTGTTTTGGTATGCTAAGTAGCATTATATTGTGTTAGCTTGTTACAGTAAAGTTCTTGCCTGAGCCTGTGGTGGTGCCAGCCCATTGATCCTGCCTGGCCTTGCAAATGGTAGAGTCCCCATTATTGAATGTTCTTCCACGGATTAATGTCAGAGAATTTAACTGTTGAATATGCGATTAGTAGCGTCTCTAATTTTACATAGCAATGCAAAATTTGGTACAAATTGCAAAGAGCATCTCTCCGCCATGCCAGTCGCAGGATGAATGGTTGTATTGAAATAAAAAACAAATGGCACGTCAAGTATTTCATTTGTTGTTTTTCGAAATTTTACAATTTTTTACTTGAATTAACGAATTGAAGAAGTTCTAAAATTTTACATATCAAACTAACAAAATTTAATTAATGAAAGAATTGGTATCACGTTGATTGTAGGGACTCCAAGTATTGCCCATGAAAAATTCGGCATGCCCAAAAAACGACTGCACATCTTTCACACTTTAGGGGTGGGTAGATTTGAACTTAATTCAACCTTTGATTTGTCCACCTCTACTCCTTTTCCAAACACTATATGACCCAAAACTATGCCCCGAGTTACCATGAAATGACATTTTTCTCAATTGAGCACCAAATTTTTTCCTTCACACCTCACCAACACCTTCTCCAAAATTTCCAAACAAACCTCAAATGAATCCCCAAATACCAAAAAATCATCCACAAATACTTCAATTATCTTCTCCTCTATGTTACCGAAAATTCCAGTCATACAGGTTTGGAACATACTTGGGGCATTGCATAGCCCAAATGGCATATGGTGATAGGCAAATGTCCTAAAGGGGTAAGTGAAGGTAGTTTTCTATTGATCTTCCATAGAAATCTCTATCTGATTGTAGCATGAGTATCCATCCAGAAAGTAGTAGAACAAGTGACCTACAACCCTCTCCAAAACTTGATCAATGAAAGGAAGTGGAAAATGATCCTTGCAGGTGTAGGAGTTGAGCTTTTGATAGTCAATACAAACTCTCCACCTGGTCACTACCTGAGTTGGAATCAGATTATTGCTCTCATTGGCAACCAAAGTGACCCCTCGACTCCTTTGGTACCACTAGCTCACAAGGACTTCAACTCGGACCACATCCTTCATGATTAGATTTAGTCTTCTTTGTGGTTGGGATGGCTTCACATCATGTGACTCCCCAAAATCTGGGGCTCTTTTCTCTACACGTTGATCACCCATCAACCCACAAAAATACCCGTGTATGCCGCATGACTCGACACCACATCATCACATGACCATTTCAAGGTCCAATATACACCAATTTTTCCTCAGTATTTCACCAATTACATTCTTTATACAAGAAGGCTCAAGGTCTGAAGGCTTGGCAAAGTTATACTTAAATTTTGAAAATTTTGGAAGAGGTAACGATACCTCCTTCATGTGGTATCAGTACCTGAGCTTTCTGTTTGCTAGGTACCAGTACCTATACACGTGGTATCGGTACCTGGGCCCTTAATAGAGTGGTACTAGTATTTTTGACCCTAGGTATCGGTACCTGAGTCCACTACCAGCAGGGTATTGGTACCTGTGAGCCTAGATATTTGTACCCAGGCTCTCTGGATGCCAGGTACTAGTGAGGTACCGGTACACGGACCCCATATTTTCTCCAAACTTTCCCAAATTCAAATTTTAGCCATCCATTAAATACCACACCCATTCCATTCATTCCTTCTATAAAAGAACAATGTCCCATTTCACGCCCTTGCTAAAATACAAGGTTTTATACATGATTTATATGAAGGCAAAATAAAGTACAAAATGATTACAAAATGGGATTCATGAGCCAGAACTTGGATCGGCCATCAACACCTGCCCAAGTGAAGGCCATCTGCCAGAGCTTGTCCAACACCTAAAATATATATCCCCATAAAGGATGTCCCCTAAAAAGGCTAATTTCCAACACAGATGCATGTGAAATGTTAACATGCAATTCAATAATCAGCAAATATCTATTCGAGAATATGCAATTCATAATGGAATTCAAAATACCTTGCCATGTTATGAGATGAGACTCTTACATGCAATGTAACCTGAGCCTTCACCGGCTCTCATAACACATGCAATACCATGCATATGTACCCAGCCATTCTAAGCCTTGCCATTGATGTTACATATCCAATGACCATTTATAAATTCCTGGTCTTTTTTGGGGTGGGTATTTATGGACTTTCACCAACGGGTACAGAACCAACACGACATCTATGGATTTTCACCAACGACTTCGCGTATGTCGACACACTTTATAAACTAATTACCAACATAGTACGTATCCAAATCACCTGGTCTTGCACCCGAGGGATAATTTACCCTTCTTGCTAATCCTAGCCCTTATTTTCCAATGCAACCCGTGTGACTCAGGTGAACCTATGTCTAATTTTCCCGAGCCCATGTATCAACCACCAAGAATGGTGTTTGATCAAACCATGCACACACCTACACTCATGTCAAATGCCCATGAATGTGATGCTACCCATATATATATATATATATATATATATATATATATATATATATATATATATATGCAAATGTAATAAACAATTGTAATTCATATCATTATGCAACCAAGTTTTTAATTGCAACTACAATATCATATTTAACATGTTATGAGCACATTATGAAAAATTCCAATGTCTATCAACAATTCCAAATCCTCAATGTAACTTATATCATAAAGCTTATAATTACATTCCAAAGTCTTCACAATACATGTTATATTAATTTCATTCAAATAACATACTTATATTAGTCCAGGTATTTTATCAAATACCCACAAGGCACAAAATCATGTAAACACATAATCATGCGCAATTCATCACACTTCTCATGAAATTAGAAACAAGAAATTTCAACAAACGCAATTCATGCAAAATTGGTTTTAACATTTTTTTCCTATACTTATTTCATTCTCCAACAATCCTAGTTATATGTTATACATGAGATTTCATCTCTAACTCCCTACCCATTTCATATTTCAACTCTAGGTTGAAAATAAACCTAGTTAGGAAAGGAACCCTATCTCTTGAAGTGTAATTGATTAACCCTAAATAGTGTGTAAATAAATTAAGGTTTAGGGTTAATTGTGTGCATAAATTATGTTAAAGTGATTAATTTTTAAAGTATTAGGGTTAATGTGTAATTTGCATATTTTGTAGGGGTTCAAGCACAAATACAAAAATTTAAGACAATAAAAGTGCAAAGGCTAAATTGAGCAAGGGAGCCAAGTGTAATTAAGAAGTCAAAAGAGTCAAATAGGGGTGGCTGCCAAGCATGAAATCCAGAGAATCCCCACCGTTTGGATGGTAGTGGTGTCGTCCGAACGGTGCTTAAACCGCTTTACTTCTCTCTCTTCTCCCATTGGTCCATTTGAGCAACAAAATGATGTAATTGGGCAGCTTGGGTGTCTACCGTCTTACCCCCTCCTTTTGGTGCCTATAAATAGTCTATTTCAACCATTTTTAGAGAGAATCACCAGAGTTCAATTTAGTTCAAGGGAGGAGAGAAAGAAAGGAAAGAAAGAGAGAAAGGGAGACTTTAGAAAGAGTTTCAGTCATAAAATGAGTGAAGCCCTGCCCTAATCACTTCTCAGCCAAAATTTTCTCTACTATATTTCTATCTATCCTTTCTACTAGAAGGGTTGAATCTCTCCCACTTTTGTGCCCTAGCCAATAATAAGAGTATCAGTATTTCAACTATTCCTCGAGGAGGGACGTTGTGGTATTTTTTATTTTTTTGGTTGTAGTGGGATCATCTCACTCCTGTTGCTCGTCTATAGCAATGAGGCGTGAGTAGTTCGTTTATATTCTTCGGTGAAGGGTGAATGGATATATGATAATGTTTAAGTTATGAAAATGCCGATGTCTTATTTATGCGTTAATGTTTATACCTCCCTTAATTGATGGATGAATATTGTTATAATATGCTCATGGTTATGAACACCGAGCAAAACCTAATGCTATGTACCATTCTATCTATAATTATTACATACTCCATGCATGATACGGTGATGTACGTAGTTGGAATTTATATAACAGTCAGGAGATTGGTTACAGATGGGTTAATCTTGTCATGCTGAGTTAAATCTTACCATAGCCAATGCTTTTGATTCAATGCATAAACCGAAACTGCGTCATCATTGAATCATCAATATGTCGATTGAATAACTAGAGTAAACCTTTTAAATGGTTCACATTCAATTTTACTAGGGTTATTTGGTTGTTGCATGGTACATAGACCTTCCGGCTAAGCTAATTAGTTGTTATATGGTTCAGTTATACATCAAACCTACTGGTTAGTTTTCCAGTAAAATGGAAGTTAATTGTTGTAAGGTGGTATTTTCATAAATAAACAATATAATACATGTTGGATCCCTGAACTGAAGAGTACCTTTTATCCTTGTTATTTAAATTTTTAGTTAAGTATTTGTTTGATAATTCTAAACTCACACCACAAGCTATTCCATTGCACATTACACACAAGATAATTTTACCATTTTCTGTTTGGAGTACCAACAGTTAACTCCCTGTGGGTTCGACATCGGACTTAACTAATAAATACTACAATTTGACAACTTATACTTGTGTATAACGTAAATCAGGTCAAATTAAGCTTTTTGATGTCGTTGACAAGGAGTCACAATGATTTCAAAACAAATAGGGAAGTTGTCTAGTTTGTATTATATGTGTATACATTGTTTGTTTTATTTTGATTGTTTATGTCTATTAATTCCTTAGTAGGGTCTATAAATCAATCTAGCCCTTCGTATTTGTCATCTTTATCGTCACAAACATCTTTGGACACTTTTGAGTTAAGTATGACTAATAATAATCAAAGGGAACAAGAGGTAGTTTAAAA